TCATAAGGAAAAGGGGACGGCGTATTCTCTTAGCTACTTCCTGCTGGAAAGGGACGCTGTAAACCACATTCTTTTGGAATGGCAGCACAAACCCTTCCCATTAACTAAGCCACCAGAGGTCATAGGAAGGGGAATTGTTTGCTCAGTTGTTGGTCATTGATCTTACCTAAAGTTTTATATTTCTTTTTTTTTTTAATTGTTTTTCTGTAGAGACCCACAATCAACGAGGAAGACCAATTTGCCTAGCCACTGATGATTATGAAAGTGAGAGTGGAAGCATGATAAGCCAGACAGTTGCCATGGCAATTGCAGGAACATCAGTCCCTCAGCTAACAAGGCCTGGCAGTTTCCTCCTCACATCAACGGTACAAGCAATCCATCTACAGGATGTGTGTGTGTGTGTGTGTGTTTGTATGTGAAAAGACAAATATTTACAAGAATGTGCACCTAAATAACTAACGTTAATATTTTAACTGATACAGAAATACTTTGTTTTCTTTATTTTATGGAAACATTAAAGTTCTGAGAATAGTACCTGTAATACAGCATGATCAGTTATATAAATTCATCAGTTATAAGATCAAGATTAATGCAGAGTTGATTTCTGTGTGGGAAAGGTCAAATATATCTCTTTCTCACTTCTCTATTAATTTTGAAACCAGTCACTTTTCCTTCAGCACTCTGTACTTCTCTTCTTAGTTGGATAATTTGCTGTAACAGTAGTCCACAGAACTCACAAACCAGATTCCCGTCTGTCTGACTTATTAGAGAGATACACCATAACCCAGGATCCAGAAATCTTGGAAGTTACAAAAAACGACTTGGAAGTCAGGATTGTTAGTTCATGCATAGACAATGTCTGGAAAGATCTCCAAAGTGAAGAGTTTATCCTCCTTTTCTTTGGTGCAGGATTGCTATTGACCAGGACAGCTCCCTCAGCAGCTCTACACTGCCAATTTTCTATCGTCCTCTCTCCCACTAACCAGCCCATTTCTTTGTAAAGCAGATCACTGAGATCTTTCAGTTACTGCTCACCTAGCAACAACTATCCCCTGTAGAACCTTTGTAACATCTGATGCTCTGCTGTCAGGCTCTCCAGTATCAGGTTTTCTGCTGTTGACTGCTCACTGCTAACTGGCTCAGCTTCTTTGCTGCTCTATATCATCAGGCCTCTCTCTCATTGACTCTCTAATGTCAATGCTCTTCTGTCACAATTCTGCCACTAACTGGTTCAAGGATGGTTATAGCCATTCTTGTTAGCTTTTCCCTACCATGGGGCCTGTTCTGTCCCCAGATCTCCTCTGTTGACTCTGCTGATAGCCATGTGGTTCTGCTTCTCTACTAGCCTAGCTCTTAGATAGGAACTCTTTATTAACTAGGAGACCTCTCTGAAACATCTGTGTTTCTCTTTGTCTGACCCTTCTAAGTAATAAGGTGGGACCTTCCTTACCAAAACTAGAGTTCATCCATTCTTCAGTTATCCATAAGATGGTCAGTCAACTGAGGTCTGATGTATTTCACTCAGCAAGGTACAGTCAGGTTATACAGCATGCCTTAGAACTTCAGTTCTCTTTATGGCTTGATAATATTCCATTGATTGATTTATTGATCACACTTTTTTAAATAATCTATTGATGGACACTCGGGTGATTTCTACCTGTTGGCTATTGTGATTAGTGCTACAGTGAACCTGATTATATACATTTCTGTTCACATCTCTGCTATTAAGTCTTTTAAGTTCGTTTTTATTTATGGTATTGTTTTAAGTGCAAAACTTTTTCATTTTAGTAGAGCCCAGTTTTTCTAATTTTTTATTTGGTTATGTGCTTTTGATGTGAGACCTAAAAAACTGTCACTAAATTCAGGGTAATAAAGATTTAGTTAAGTTGTAAGGGTGGGTTTTTTTGTTTGTTTTTATTATTTTTTAGTTTTGTAATTATACTGTCCTGTTCCTTGGAGGCACAGGATAGAGCAGGGTTTAGGGCTGTTGTACATAGGGTCGCAATGAGTCGCAAGCGACTCGACGGCACATAACAACAACAACAACAAATTATACCTCTTAATTTTGGGCCTGTGATTATTTTTACTTTGTTTTCTAAGACATCAAATTATTGATTACACAGGATAGAATGAGACATAACTTTCATTTGTATCTATCTGTCACCATTATTCAATTTCAGTATATTGCATAGGATATGCAGTGGTCTCTTTAATAGCCAAGTATATTCTGTGACTGTGTGGTGAATATTTTCATGATAAATTATAGGCCAAAAATACAAATTTTAAAAAACTGAACAAACCACCAACTATAGGTCACAACTCAGTAACAGTTCCACAGCACTAAAATTTCTAGAAACACTGGTTTCTCTCACACTAAATTAGGTGTTGTTAAGCCTATTTATAAAAGAAAAAGAAATCAGAATTTTACTCATTCATTGCTGTAGACTCTGAGCCAACTCAGCAGACATTCTGTTTGGGTTTGGGGAGGCACATAAGGAGATTGTCCATCTTTCTGTCACAGAGCTGCTCATGGATTTGAACTGTTCGAGAGGTACAGCACAACTAGATAGTCTTAGGAAAGCTATAAAAGAAAAAGTCAGAATTTAGAGAAGTAAATATAAGTTTCTCAGTGTCACAAGTATAATAATGGATAAAGCCAGGAAATAAGCTTAAGTAATTGTTTGCACAGAGATTTTCCACTTGAGCTGTGTAAAAAATACTTAACCAGAGGAGAAAAAAAAATGTTCTTAGCACAGTTTAAGTAAAAGTTACTTAATACTGTGTTAACAACCTCTTATGAAGACAGATGCCCTGAAAGTTCATAGTTTAAAAAAGGCACTTAGATTACCATTTCTTTGTTACCATTGTTTTTGTTGTTAGGTGCTGTTGAGTTGCCTGCCAACCATAGTGACCCTTTGTACAGCAGCTCTGAACTCTGCCCTGTCCTGAGGTAGTCTCATTAATTCCAACACACCAACCCCCCCATTGCCCCAGTTACTCTGTCAATCCACCTTATCAGGGGTCTTCCTCTCCTGCACCCAGCCCTCCCCCCCCACCAGTTTGCTCCTCTCTTTCAAAAGTAAAACAAACACTCCTTCCCTGGTTTGCAATCCCCCCCACACCCCTCCCACCACCCCAAGTACATTCCACTATGCAACGTTAATTGTGGACTCTTGTGATAATCATAATACCCTATCATACATCGCTTTTAAATTATTCGCTCCCTCATCTGATTCAGTGCAGTATACACAATTTACCCAGTTTTTCTCAGTCTTACCCCCACCCTGATATCAATCCCATTTTACAACAGTGGCACCATGCAATATTTGTCCTTTTGCAACTGAGATATTTCACTCAACATAATGTCCTCCAGGCTCACCCATTTGGAATAATATTGCATGAGTTCCTTGTTTTTCAATGCGGCGTAGTATTCCATTGTGTGAATATACCACAGCTTCTCTATCCATTCATTTGTTGATGGGCACCTGGGTTGTTTCCAACTCCTT